TGGAAAACAATAATTAAGCTGAAAATTGTCTATGATTTGAATGTTCACAAATATTTTAACCTTTGAAAATAAGCATATTACAATTCAAATAGTGCTTCAGGTCTTTTAAGAGAACAGTGAAAAACAACACACAGAAACACAATCATAGTTTACGGCCTTTATTCTCCATCTCAGGTTATCTCTTTGTAGAAGCAACCACTTTAATTCTTCCAGCTCTTTCTTCTGATTTTTATCTTCATGTTTCTAAACAACATCATTAGACTGCTATTGAAAGGCAGAGTAGCAAGGTGGTCAAGAGCTGCTGGTATTTAAATCCCAGCTCTCCCACTGCCATTCCTTTTCATTCTGGATATTACTTCTTAACCAAAGCACAATTGATATTTTGTGCCAGATAATGATTTGTGGTAGGGAGCTGTACTTTGCATTATAGGATGTTTAGCAGCATCCCTGGCCTCTACCCACTAGATGCCAGCAGCACTGCCACCCCAGCTATCACAACTAAAAATGACTCTAGGTATTGTCAAATGTCCCCTGGGGTCGGGAGCAGCATCACCCCCAGTTGAAAACCACCGATCTTGGGGAAATTAACTAAGTTTCCTGTGCTTTTGCTCACTCATCAGCAAACTTGGAATTAGTAATTCCAACCTTATAGATTACTACCTTATTAATATAGGTATTAATAATACCAACCTTAATTCCAATTAACTTGGAATTAATACCAACCTTAATCCTAATATCATGGATAGTATTTGTGAAGCACTTACTGCCTAGACCACGAAAAATATTCTATATTTACTCAATAAAATGGCATTGAACATTTTTCATGTCTATGTTTTATCCATTAGACTTCCATGCCCCTGTTTTTCCAATTCAATGATCTCAGTTTCAATTTTGTCAATATTCAGCCTTTATAACCATTGCAACCATGTAATTACTCAAAACTGAGTTGCATAGTGGACTCGTATTATATTAATTTTCTTGTGCTATTTTATTTTCCTTCTAGAGTAAATAACTGTCCTTTTTTGTTTGCTTGCTTGGTTTTCTATGTACCTAAATATCCCTAAACTATCAGAAACATTAATCTCCTCTCAAGAAGGTTGGCAAACAAACAAGTTTTTCCATTTCAGGGACTTTCTTGTTAGAGCTTTGCATTCTCCTACTCCAATATGTACTTGTTCTTTAGGCCTGCTGCATAGATGTCATTCTGGAATTTCTTTGTACTCTTGTTCTGGGGATTCTCTTTACCTTTATTGTGTGTTTGATCCTTTATTTCTGAGTCTTATGTCCTTTTCCTTCTAGTTTGCTCTTTTGATTTAATGGAATACATCTTTCATTTTAATTTTAAAAAAAATTTTTTTTTGAGACAGGGTTTTACTCTGTCACCCAGGCTAGAGTGGAGTGTCACCATCACAGCTCACTTCAGTGAGCTCAGGCTCAAGCAATCCTCCTACCTCAGCCTCCCAAGCAGCTGGTATTACAACCGTGCACCATCACATCCAGCCAATTATTTTCTGTAGAGATGGGTGGTTGCGGGGGTCCTCACTACGTTGCTCAGCTTGTCTCAAATTCTGGGCTCAAACACAAACCTCCCACCTCCGCATCCCAAACAACTGGGATTACGTGTGTAAGCCACTATACTGGGCCTAAAAATGCATTTATACTACATATAATATTGGAAATTATTTTCCCTCAAAATATTAAAAGGAGCACTCTATTGTCTCTGGACTTTCAGAATTGTAGCTGAAAAGTCTAGTTCCTGAGTTTTTAAATGTAAATTGTTTTCCCTCAGTGGAAGGTTTGGGATCTTTATCCTAAAACTTTTGTCTGGTGCTTAGACATTTCACAATAATTAACCTAGTATAGGTCTTTTAAAATCATGCTGGGCACTGGAAATTCAGGTCTTTCAGTTTAAGAAATGTTCTTGCATTATAACTCCATTAACTACCTGCCTCACCCCCACTCTAGTATGGTATCTCTGTTCTCTCTCTGTGGTGCTACCATTAATCAGATGCTAAATCCCTAATTTGCTTATGCTTCTTCTTGCTAATTTTATCTTATTGTCTTCCCCCTTGCATTTTCTGAGAAATATCTTAGATGTCATCCTTCCTTTTTCCACTGAATTTTTATGTCCTATTTTTAATATACAGGAGCTCTTTCTGGTTCTTTGAATGATTCTTTTAAAAACACACAGTATTACCTGGGCATGATGGCTTGTGCCTTTAATCACAGCTACTCAGGAGGCTTAGGTGAGAAGATCACTTGAGCCCAGGAGTTTGAGGTAGCAGTGAGCTATGAGCGTCACTGCACTCCAGCCTGGGCAATATATAATACACACACACACATGCATACACACACAATATTATGTTATGTTACCTAGCATACAACATCTTCTTTCATCTCTTTGAAGGTGACAGTGATACTTTATTTACTTCAAATGCTATTTTTTTCTGTTTATTGTTATCTTCTCTCTCATGTTAGAGGTTTCCCTCAAATGACTTGTGATCTTTGTCTACCCTTTTGTGTTTAAGAATGAGTTACTACATCATAACCCCATCATACATCATGGAGTGTATTTGGTTATGATGTAGTAACTCATTCTTAAACACAAATGCAAGGTTGCTTTACCATTTAAAAAGTAATCAATGTAACTCAGCTTATCAACAGACTAAAAACAAAACAAAAACAACATATGATCTCTTGTGTCATCCCCTCCCAAAGCATTTGAAATAAATGTAATAACCATTCAAGATTCAAAAAAAAAAAAGAAAAAGAAAACTCAGCAAATTAGGAGTAGAAGATAACGTCCTCAACCTGATAAAGGATGTCTACAAAAAAACTAGAGCTAACATACTTAATAATGAAAGATGTTTATTTTCTTTTAAAAATCAGAAACAAAGAAAATACATTTGTTCTAACAACTTCTGTGTATTAGTCAGGGTTCTCTAGAGAAACAGAACCAATAGGATGGATCTCTCTCCCATCTGACTCCATAATCCATATTGTAATATCAAATATCCATAATACCTGAGATATTAGAGGAATTGGCTGACATGATTGTGGAGGCTGAGAAGACCCACAACCTGCCATCTGCAAGTTGGAGACCCATGAAAGAAAGTGGCATAATTTCAGTCCAAGTCCGAAGGCCTGAGAATCAGGGGAGAATCAGTGCAAATCTTAGTCCAAGGGCAAGAGAAGTCCAATGTCCCAGCTCAAACAGGCAGACAGGAAGAAAAGGAGGGAGTTTCTCTTTCCTCTCATTTTGTTCTATTCAGGCCCTCAACAGATTGGATGATGCCCACCCACACTGAATCCACTGATTCAAATGCTCATCTCATTCAAATACATCCTCATAGACACATGCAGAAATAATGGTGAATTTGTGCACAGTTTGGCACAATCAAGTTGACACATTAACCATCATATTTCGTTAAATCATGTATTAACTGCCCTGTTCAGAGCAATGAGGCAAGAAAAAGAAATAAGAGATATACAGATTATAAAGGAAGAAATAAAACTCAGCATTCTCAGATGGTATAATTTTTCCCCTTCCCCTCCCAAAGATTATTTAAAATTCTACTAAAATTAATAAGTGAGTTTAGCCAGGTCACAGAACGATTAACATACAAAAGTAAGTTGTATTTCTTAGCCATAGGTCTGACTTAAAAAAATTGCATTTCTCTATATACTTGTAATTAAACAATTAGAAATTGACATTTAAAAAATATGACAATAGCATCAAAAAGGATGAATAATAAGGGATAAATCTAAGAAAATGTGTAAAATTTCTATATTGAAACCTATAAGACATTGGTGAGAGAAATGAAAGAAGACTTAATAAGTGGAGAAACATATCATGTTTATGGATTCAAAGACTCTTTTTAATGGGTAAATTTATCTCACATGTATCTATAGAATCTGTGCAATTTCAATCAAGATCCAAGCAGCTTTTTGAGTGGAAATTGATAGGCATATTCTAAACTTTGTTTGGAAATTCAAAGGACCTGGTATAATAAGCAAAATGATTTTAGAAAAACAAGAAAGGCCTCACTCTGTCTGATTTCAGTACTTATTCAGCTTCAGTATTCAAGACAGTGTTGTATTGGGAGTAAGGATAGATATATAGATAAAGATAGTGTAGAAAGATGCCCACGTATATACAATTAAATGATCCCAACAAAGATGACAGAGTAATTTCACGAGGTAAAACATTGTTAGTAAAAGGTGCTGGAACATCCATATGCAGAAAATTGAAGCTAAAACCTCTCTCCACCATATAAAGAAATTAACTTGAAATTTTACGTAGACAAAAATGTGAAACCTAAAGTTATATAAATTTCTAGGGGAAATTCTTTGGGACCTTTGATAGTAAAACTTTCTTAGGACATAAAAAGCATGAACTATTAAAAAATTGGAAAATTAGAGTTTATAAAAATTAAGACCTTGTGCTCTTCAAAAGATTCCTGCAAAAGCAAAAAAAAAAAATAATAATAAATGAATAAAACCAGCCACAGATTGCGACAAAATATGTGTGAAGAATACATCTGATTAAGAATTTATATCCAGAATATATGAAGAACTTTCAAAAGTAAAGAAAACAATTCATTTTTTTTAATTGGGCAAAAGATTTAAATATTTTACTAAAGAAGATATCCAGGTAGCAAATAAACACATGATATTCACCAAAATCATTAATTAGGAAAATGCAAATTAAGATGAATATCACTATATACCTACTAGAATGGCTATATTTTAAAAGTTTGACACTGCCAATTACTGGTAAAGATGCAAATCAGCGGTTACTTTCAAATGCTGCTGGTGGGAATGCAATATGGCACAGCCATTTGGCATTTTCTTATAAATTCAGACCCAGATTCATGAGAATGAGACCTGTGCAATTGAACAGGGTCTCATGCTCAAAGGAGTCCCATGCTCAGCTTAATATTCCACTGTTAGTATCTTGAAATTCTAATAATTTTATCTCTAAACTTGTGTTTTATAAGTAAGCCTGTTGGAACACTGGAATATGAAATACGTCTGCCAGTACTTGCTGCCCTGTTTGCATGTAGTGTTGGAGATACCCCATGAACACAGAATTCCAAGAGACCCAGTGGTGCCTAGAAGTTTAATGAGACTCACAGCTAGCACAAGGTAAGCATGTTACAGCTAAGTCTGAGTAAACATAAATACTGATAACCTCTTGAGGGTATGTTTTTTATTTGAATGAGAGTTGTTTCTAATGCAAAAAGAAGACAATGGCATTCTAAGAAACACAAATGAGCAAGGAATCCTGTGATGTCCTTTCTTATTCCCGTTGTTTCCTGGTACTACACAGCTGGTTTTGCTGAAAGTAATGATGCCGTAAGTCAAAGGTAGAGAGTGTTGGTAGAATGTGTTGGTAGACTCGAAATAAAAAATTGAGTGAATTTTGTGTAGTGTGTACACTGTTCTGGTAAGAATAAAATATATATGCATGTATGAACCACAAAATAAGAATTTTGTGATTTTGGTGATCCTACATAGGAGTTAAATGTACATGTTTCTATTTAAAGCTAGCATTATGCAATATAAAGACAAATGGCAAAATTCAGCCTAATAATTTAAAATTTTTCCTTCCTTAGAAAAAAATTTTAACTAGCAAATAAAAAATAAAAAACTATGACAAGCTGAAAAAAAGACTAAGGAAGAAAGGAAAAAGCTTTATATTTTATATTTTTAATGATACTTTTTTCTGCTTTTTGAACAAGGGGCTCATTACATAATGTAGCTGACCCCGTATAAATTAAACATACATTTATCATAGACAAGTTAATCCAATTATTGGGCTTCCGTGTAAGGTTGTCAGGAGATAGCCAACCATATCTTTGGCAACCCAACAATTTTTAGTGTGAAGTCTTTTCTCTCCTTGATTTCTCTAGGAAGGAAACCTCCATTCATTCCTTTTCAGGAATGAATTAGTTTGCTTCTTGATTTTCCCAGCTACAGGTACTTAACTTTTAACTTCCTCTGTTCAGCTGAGAAGTCAGTTATTACTTGATCATATGCTTTCTGGTTTTTAACCTATTTTTGACAGTTCTCACTGTTGTTATTTTATCTCTAGTTCTCCTTTTCTTTAAGGTTCTAAATTTTTAAAAATTTGTTTCCTGCCATCATTTTTGTGATGTTTGGGAAGGAGAATTGATAAGCTCATATAGGTGTTCTATTCACTATCTTTTACTGGAGAGATACACACACACACACACACATATATATATCCAGTAAATATATATATACATGTTTATCCAGTAAAAAAAAAATATATATATATTTAAATTTTGGATGTCATTGCAAAGATTTTTAAAATTAATTTTATTTTCTACAGATTCCTATCACTTAAAAAAAAAAAAACCCTAAGTATTTTATTAAGTATCTTTTATATAAAACAATACAACTTTACAAAATAAACAGGACAGGCCCACAGAGATAATAGAACCTGAAAGAAAGATCCATGTCTATAGGAAGAGTACAGATTATGGCATCTTCTCAGCAGGGAATTCTGCGCACCCCACCTCCCTTAGCGGGTTAAAAACGCTGTCAGATAACTGGTTATAACTGGAACTGAGTCTGTGGTAGAGATATAAAGTTGGGTGTCATTAACAACTGAAACTAATCAGATTCAATTCCACCCTGGCGTCTGCTTATCTCAAGACTCAAACTGGCCTGGGGCAACTAAAGACCCTCCTCCAACCTCTTGGTGACTCTTCTGCCCATCCCCCTTATTTCGTTAACTCATGTTTAGTTTTTCAGACTAAATGTCACCTACTCCAGGAAGTCTTTCCTGAAACCATTCTACTAAGCTAATTTAGGTGTTCTTCCTTACCTCAAGTTTTTATTTTCATAATAACTTCAGTTCTCAGGTTATAGGTATATTCTTTATGACTGTATTTACCATATTATAATTATTCATAATATTTCAGGGATCAGCAAACTTTTCTGTGAAGTTTACAGTAAGTAAATATTTTAGAACTTGTAGGCCAAGAGGCAAAATCAAGGATATTCTGTAGGTACTTATATAACAAAAGAGAAAACAATTTCCCACAATTTTTTTTGGCAAAATTAAAAATATAATATTGAGTATTATTTTTATAATTCCAGTATACTAATCAGAAGAATGGAATTATTTTGGTGGGGATAACATTTTTCTTAATTGGGGTTGAAAGCTAGTGTTCCCTGTCATCACATTTATCTGTAATATTTACCTGTATATATTTAGCTGTAAAAATAAGTTTACCTGTACCTATTCATCTGTAAAAACCATTCTTAGGTCACAAGTCTTACAAAAACATGCAGTGTAGTTTGCTGAGCCTGGATCTATTTAACTATTTGTCTCTACCATATTTTGAGTTATGGGATTTGTTTTGGGTCTTAGTCGTCTTTGAATTCCCAGGCAACACACTACCTGGCACATTATAGGTGCTAAGTAACTTTAAACAAGTTTTGTTTTGTTTTGTTTTAAGCAATGAAGAGATTTGAGTCTTGGATATCTCAGACTTTTATCTTGATGGATAGTACTTTGACTTTTTTTCTGAGCTGAAATAAACCGTTTTTGCCTTTTATTTTTGAAATTAAATACTTTATTTTTGTGGATTTAGGGGTACAAGTATAGTTGTGTTACATGGATATGTTGTGTAGTGGGGATATCTGGGCTTTTAGTGTATCTATCATCTGAATAGTGTGCATTGTACTGAACAGGTAGTATTTCATTCCTCACCCTTTCTCCCACCCACCTACCTTTTGGAATCCCCAGTGTCTGTGACTCCATTCTGAATGTCCATGTGTACCTACTGTTTAGCTCTCACTTATAAGTGAGAACATGTGGTTTTTGATTTTCTGTTTTTGAGTCATTTCACTAAGAATAATGGTCTTCAGTTCCATCTATGTTGCTGCAAAACACATGGTTTTATTCCTTTTTATAGCTGAGCATATTCTATGCTGTATATAATACCACATTTTTAAAAAATCCCACAGGTAGGTAGGTTGATTCCATGACCTTGCTGTTGTGAATAGTGCTGTGATAAGCATACAAGTGCAGCTGTCTTTTTTAAAAAAATACGATTTAATTTTCTTTGGGTAGATACCCAGTACTGGAATTACTGGATCAAATGGTAGTTCTGTTTTCAGTTCTTTGAGAATTTTCTGTACTGTTTTTCATAGGAGCTGACTTAATTTACATTCCCACCAACAGTGTATAAGTGTTCCCTTTTCTCTGCATCCTCATCAACACCTGTTGTTTTTTGACTTTTAATAATAGTCATTCTGACTTGTATAAGGTGATACCTCATTGTGGTTTTAATATGCATTTCTTTGATGATTGGTGATGTTGAGCATATTTTCATATGTTTATTGGCTGCTAGTATGTCTTTTTTTGATAAGTGTCTGTTCATTTCCTCTGCCTACTTTTTAGTGGAGTTATTTTTTTATTGTTGTTGAGTTGTCTGTATTCCTTGTAGATTCTGGATATTAGTCCTTTGTCAAATGCATTGTTTGTGAATATTTTCTCTGATTCTGTAGGTTGTCTGTTTACACTGTTGATTGTTTGTTTTGCTGTGCAGAAGCTTTTCAGTTTAATGAAGTCCCATTTGTCTATATTGTTGTTGTCATTGTTGGATTTTCTTTTGAAGGCTTAGTCATAAATTGTTAGCCTAGACCAATGTCCAGAAGAGCTATTCCTAGGTTTTCTTTTGGATTTTTATAATTTCAGGTGTTACATTTAAGTTTTTAATTCATCTTGAGTTAATTTTTGTATATGGTGAGAGAGAGCAGTCCAATTTCATTCTTCTGCATATTACTCTTTAATTATCCCAGCACCATTTAGTGAATGGAGTATGCTTTCCCCAGTGTATATTTTTGTCAACTTCGTTGAAGACCTGTTGGTTGTAGGTGTGTGACTTTATTTCTGGGTTCTCTATTCCGTCTCATTGATCCGTGTGTCTATTTTTATACTACTACCACAGTGTGTCGATTATTATAGCCTTGGTTATAGTATAATTTGAAATCAGGTGATGTGATACCTCCAGCTTTACTGTTTTTGCTTAGGATTGCTTTGGCTACTTGAGCGGTTTTTTTTTGGTTCCATATGAATTTTAGGATTATTTTTTCTAATTCTGTGAAGAATGACATTGGTAGTTTAAAGGGAATTGTGTTGAATCTGTAGATTGCTTTGGGCAGTATTAACGATTTGGTTCCTGTAATCCATGACCATGTGATATTTTTCCATTTGTTGGTGTTATCTATGATTTCTTTCAGCAGTGTTTTGTAGTTTTTCTTGTAGAGACTTTTCACCTCATTGGTTAAATATTTTCCTGGGTATTTGGTTTATTTGCAGCTATTGTAAATGGAATTGAGTTCTGACTTGGTTCTCAGCTTGGTAATTATTGGTATATAGAAATGCTACTGATTTTTATGTGTTGATTTTATATCCTGTACCTTTACTGAAGTCGTTTGTCACATCTAGGAGTCTTTTGGAGGAGTCTTCGGGGTTCTCTATGTGTAAGATTATATCATCAGTGAACAGAGATATTTGACTGTCACTTTTTCAGTTTGGATGCCTTTTATTTCTCCCTCTTGCCTGATAGCTCTAGCTAGAACTTCCTGTCTTCTCATTTTTATTGCAAAGGTTTACTTTCTGTTATAATAATAATACTTTACATATATTTTAGGAGATGTTGACTATTTTTTCCTTTATGCTGTCTTCTTGAGCATCTAACCTTCCCTGAGAAAAAATAAATCACCTTGATATAAACTTCTTTACTGATCTAATTTCGTTCTATAATACATTTCTCTTTTAAATTTCTCCATATGTCAGTAGATCTATTAAGTATCAAATGAAATTCAAGATTTTAATAAGTAAATATTTATTTGTATAAATTTAAGGGGTACAAGTGCAGTTTTGTTACATAGATGTATTACATAGTGGTGAAGTCTGGGCTTTCAGTCATACCATTACCCAGTTAGTGGGATTAAGTACTACTTTGACATTATGCACTACCTTTCCTTTAAGAATTTTCGGCCAGGCACGGTGGTTTACGCCTGTAATCCCAGCACTTTGGGAGGCTGAGGCGGGTGGATAACCTGAGGTTAGGAGTTCCAGACCAGCCTGACCAACATAGTGA